GGAAATGCATGCCTCCATACGAGGCGTTATATGGGAGGAAATGCAGAACCCCTTTGTGTTGGGACGAGGTTGACGAGGCCAAACTCAAAGGCATAAAACTTGTCGAGATCACCAAGGCCAAGGTGAAGATTATTCGAGATAGGCTTAAGGCTGCCCAAGATCGGCAAAAGAGCTATGCCGATAAACGGCGTAGGCCGTTAGAGTTTGCAGTTGGGGATGAGGTGTTTCTAAGGATTTTTCCTTGGAAAGGTATCATCCGATTCATATCGAGGGGTAAGCTTAACCCCCGATGCATTGGTCCGTTTGAAATTCTTGAAAGTATTGGGGTCGTGGCTTACTGTCTCAAGTTATCACCTGAACTTGAGAAGATTCATGATGTGTTCCATGTATCGATGCTCAAGAAGTATGTACGAGATCCGTCCCATATTCTTGAGAGACCACCGGTAGAGATTTGAGAGGACCTACAATATGCAATGGAACCAGTGAAGATAGTGGGTCAGCAGGTAAAGAGGCTTATGAACAAGGAGATTCCTATGGTGAAGGTGCTTTGGAGGAGTGATCGAGTCGAAGAAGAAATCTGGGAGACTAAGGTCTCAATGAGGGAGCAATACCCGTTTCTTTTCGATTGGACACGGGATTTCGGGGACGAAATCCCAAATAAGGGGGGGTGAACTTGTAACACCGTCCCCAAGTATATTTACTTTTAGTAAATCATGTAATAAACCTTGAATAATGATTCGTGAATTTACGAGGTTGTAAATTTTTGTTATTACGTTCGCGTGAATAGTGAATTGCACGTGGGGCCCACATTGGGAGCGGGGACCACCCGATAAACCCGGGACCACGTATTCTATTCATCCTGGTCTAGATAGTATTTATATGGTGGTGGATATTTTAATTGAGCCATAGAAAGGGCATAGGGTTGACCCGTTGGTCAAACGAGGCCCAAGTACCGATATTAGTAAATTATCGGATAACAGTCCAAAACGATTTTCGGAGACTTATAAATTAAAGTTGGGGTATGTAGATTCATTCTAAATACCCATAATGATGGAGGACACTTAATATATTTTATTTAACCCGATAAAATAAAATATAGTTAAAACAGTCCGAGAAATACAACTTTCGGGACCGATTGTACACTTCGGGACAAAAAGGGTTGACCTCCCACATGAGTGGGGGCCAACCCACGAATTTAGACAATCAAATAGAGTGTTGGCCGGCTGGTGGGATAAGGAAATAGGGGGAGGGGATTATGATATGAAGGAAATGGCATCAAAGGTACCTAAGGTGGACCCTCATTCTACACTCATTGGATTAATGAGACAAAAGCTCATCACCATCCCTCTCTCCCCTCATTTTCGGCCAAGCACACCCCAAGTAAGAGGAATAAGCTCTGCAACTTCATTTTCCTCCATAACCAAGTGAGCTCAAGAAGACAAGGTCCTAGGAGGGAGATTAAAGAAGGAAAAAGTGAGAAGAATCGAGGTAATGACCTTATATTAACTTTTCCTTTACTTTTCTTCCACCATTTGAGATATATATCATATGAAGGACACTTAGAATCATTCTACACTTTTATAAATGTAGAATGAGGGGTTGAAAGTGGTTCTAAGTCCAAGAACGGATTTAGAAGCCAAAACGACCGGTTCGCCGGAAAATAACCTTTTGGAGGTTATTTGTATTGATATGAGTTTTGTGATGATAAAACCATGTTAGGAGCTTAACTAAGGTGTTTCTAGAGTTCGCCGGAATTCTCCGAAGTTTCGCCGGACTTCCGTCGGAGTTCCGTCGGAGTTCAACCGAAGAGCGTAGAACACGCTATAACGCATTTAAGGTGAGTGGATGACTTAATGTCTTGTAACTTTTGGGTTAAGCATGAGATTACCTAAGTATATGTTATGTGTGTTCATAATAATGTTTAAATGAATTAAACATGTGATTAGCCAATTAAAGTGATTAGGCTTGTATGAAGTGAACTATTGAAACATGCATGATTTGTGAAGTGAAAATGCTCATAAAAACATATGTGATGTGTTTAAAGATGAAATGTGCATAAAATAGTTATTTATAACTTAGTACATATTGTGACTAAGTTTGACACACATTGGATTTGGAATGGCGGGTCAACCGAGAGTTGACCGATGCCGGTTTGGCCTTACCTTACCTATATGCTAATTTTAATGCATGAGTTGCATGGATGATTTTGTTTAAGCCTTAAGACTTGGTCTAGTCTGGTTTATTGATTATGATATAGGCCCTATCTAGTATGATATGTGGTAGATAATAGGTCGGGTGGAGTACCCGAGGATCGGGCGGTATCCTCAAAACTCGGTTATATAGGGTGGAGTACCCAAGGATCAGGCGGTATCCTCAAAACTCGTTTATATAGGGTGGAGTACCCAAGGATCGGGCGGCATCCTCAAAACTCGGTTATATAGGGTGGAGTACCCAAGGATCGGGTGGTATCCTTAAAACTCGGTTATATAGGGTGGAGTACCCAAGGATCGGGTGTGTATCCTCAAAACTCATAGATTACTATTTAGAAATTCAGGATCGGGCGGTGTCCTTATGATTATTTGATTTGGACATGAGGAGTCCTATACACTCATAGGTCTATGGGTGGGTTGGGGTTTTAAGTCAAGGACATTGACTACTATCATTTTTCCCAATTAAACAATGACCTACGGGTCGGGTATTTCCAAGTGTATATAAGTACTTATATGTATTTTTTAACTTGGGGTAAGGAAGTATAAGTATATGTATCACCCTATGTTTGAGTCTTATACTTGAAACGTTAGTTACTCTACATTTAGCTTGCTACTCGCTCGGTACTTGTACTGACCCCTTCGGGGGGGCCACCATTTCAGGTTGAAGCTAGAGCCTGTTGTCTACACCTTTGCATGGGTGGAAAGAATCTAGAGGAAGACGTGGTTCGTGCTTCCTTTATTATTTTAAATTATAAACTATGCTCATGGATACTTTTGTAATATTACATTGTTTTGGCCTACGAGCCTACGTTTTGCCATATGTGGCTTATGATTGACCGTTGAATATTTTCCGCTATTCATTCAATCTATGATGTGATGTTGTTATGTATGTTTACTACTGAGTATGGTGTGAACGATGTTCATGAACGCCTTGTGTGATTATGTGAGGTTGACTTGCGAGTGACGTCACTTAATCACACGGCGGTTGTACACGCGCTTAGATGCGGTCTGGGGCGTGACATTCGGTACCTCTTTGGTCTCATCAAGTGAAACCTTGGTGGGTGGTACCCATTGTCCACCTGGTAGTCATAGTAAATGGAAGTGTGATTCACTTTGGGCAGATGCTTGTGAGGATCGTGCTTCCTATTTACGTATTTTTGCATAGCTTTCTTGGTTGGAAAGAAGTCCAAAATACTATCAAGAGCAGAGGGGCGATTAGCTTTGGGCTTCTTAGGTTGACCAATCAACCTCTTCTGCCTATAAGAAACCTTCTCTTGATATCTGCCTCTCTGGTGATCATTTCTGGTGGGGCAGTCGTGAGATTGTCTGATGGTGTTTTTGTCTTTGGTTTTTGTTATTTTGAAAACCTTTTCTATTGTTAGGCCTTCTGCCAGGTTCATTAGTTTTCAAAACTTGTTTTGGTTAAACTTTAGTTTTTTTTTCTAGTGGAACTTTCTCATGACAGACCTTAGTACCAAATACACTAGCATGACAGTTGAGGCTAGAAATCAGTGGCACTATCACCTTATATGCCTTAGCAACTTGGGTGTTAGGCTTTACAGACGGCTCACCTGATTCTGTTGGGCTAAATCCAACACCAAAACCGCAACCAACTTTCTTATTAAGTACTACCATTTCCATGGAAGACTAGGCCTTCTAGTAGGTGTTGTAGCTAATCTCAAGAGACTCTATCTCTCTTATCTACTATTATATAAAAGCAAAATGTTTTTGGCACTGTTCAAAAAACAGTGTTCCCGCCCATTGTCCAAAGGAAATATGGTGCAAAGTGGAAATTACAATATAAGCCCTATGCAGGGTAAAAATTACAAGTGCTAATGATGAAATTGGACCATTGAGCCTGTATTTACAAAAGTGAATAGTTGGGCCACTAATTACAGAAATGAACATTTGGGCCGCCAGTCCAGGGTAAAATACACTGTTTGTTGATGGAAAATGCATCTTGCTCTGATTTTGGCGGCCGGGGCATCCAATATCTAAAATAACCCAGATTTGCTATCATTACCATTGGTACACTTTTAAAATTTAGTTGTATTTCACACAAATAAAATGTAAACTCAGTTATGAAAAATAATGGAACATGCGTACTTTATTAGAAAGCAATACATTCAAATTGATTGATGTGATTAGTCCTACAACGAAACTGGTTCTCATCTCATTTGGGCCAATTTTACAAAAAAAAACTATGAAACAATGAAGTAACGAATACATAAAAAAATGTGTGTGTATTTTAGGGAAAAGGGGCAGATAAGGCCACGTACTAACAAAAAAAGGTCAAATAAGGCCTTATTTATGAGACTCTGTCCGGCCTTCGCCATTTGGGTTGGTTCTCGGTGGAATTTTTTGATGAAATTTTTTGAGCATCTTAGTCAGTAAGTCTAGTTTACTCATACCAAATGTAAGCTAAAACTTCAATCGGGAAGCCATTCAAATGAATTCTTGAAGATAATTGCGCAGTTAAAAGCGCAGTTATCTTCAAGAATTCATTTGAATGCCTTCTCGATTAAATTTTTATCTGAAATTTGGTATGAGTAAACTAGACTTAATGAATAAGATGGTCAAAAAAATTAATCAAAAAATTCCACCGAGAACCACCCCAAATGGCGAAAGCCGGACAGAGCCTCATAAATAAGGCCTTATTTGACCTTTTTTGGTTAGTACGTGGCCTTATTTGCCCCTTTTCCCGTGTATTTTATGATGCCACAGTACATCTGAGTTTCTATAAATAGCCATTACAACAATCACATTTTTACCATCCCAACCTTGAGTGCACTTAAAAGTACTATCCTACCCAAAATGGTTGGCATGTGGTCTTTAGTGAGTGAGTTTCATCAAGGGAAAACTACTTGGGCATTCAAAGCAAGAGCAGTCCGTGTTTATGAAATCCCGGCCTATGGGATACATGGTGAATATTTGCAGTGCATCTTCCATGACTCTGAGGTATTTAAACAATTTCCAAAATATATACTTCTACATACAAAGTTGCTGTATGAACTAACAATTCTGTACACAGGGAACCAAAATTCATGCACACATTGGGAAATCACAGGTCTCAAAATTCAGGCCCATGTTTAAGGAAGAAAATGTTTATGCAATTTTGAAATTTCTTAGTTCAAGATAACTACATGAATTTCAAGACAACAAGGAATGAATTTAAGTTGCTATTCATCCAACTAACTAAAACATTTCAGATTTCAAACATAAATTTCCCAATAAGAATGTTTGAGTTTACTTCGATTGCTGCTTTGCAAGCTGCAGAAGTTGTGGATGAAACCCATGCCATTGGTAAATCTTTTATAAAATAGTGAGTTGTATTAAAACTTTTAATTAAAGAAAATAATTTATCTAAGGTGTGATGTATTTTAGATGTGATTGGAAAGATAACTTCCCTGTCAAACCCTAAGGTTCTTACAAAGAATGGTAGGCATACTCAGTTGGTGGATCTTACCCTTGGAGATGCTCAGTGCGTATTATTAAAAATAAACATCACAATTTGTAAGTACATATGTGTAGATAATATTCAGAACCAACACACCTATTATAATTTGTAGTGGAATACTATCTCTTGCACTCTATGGGAGGACTTGATAGATCAGTTGGTAGACTTTCTGCGGACAAAACCCAAGTGCATCATTCTACTTCTTCAGCTATGCCGTGCAAAAAAAATTCAGGGTATCTTTCAAAGCCTGAGAATGACATTTTTTTATTTATAAAACTGTTAACATTGTTAAATATTCAGGTCATGTGAATGTGGCCAACATGTTCAATGTGACCAAGATGCTTCTAAATAGCGACAGTGAGGAGTGTGTGGAGTTCAAAGCCACGTAAGAAAATGTTAAATAACATGTTTTACTGTTTTCACATATCGTTTTCACTATATAAACTCACTTTTTTGGAAATGTTATAGCTTCGGTAGTTTTGTTGGTGATGCTTTTCAAGATGACCTTGGAAGCGGAAGAGTTCCTTTTGTTTCTATTGATGATCTAATCAAAATGAAAGAGGTTCTAATATAGCATAGACTGATGTCATTAAGTTTTATACCTTAGTTGATACATAAAAATGGATTTATGATTTTCTAACTAACTAAACTGTAGGATGGAAAACACGTGATCTACGGAGAGATTTTGGCAATAGATAGTTACAAGGACTGGTTCTATATTTCTTGCAAGGGGTGCATCAGGAAGGTGGTAGCTGAGGGTGATAGTTTTTGGTGTGGTGTGTGCAACACAGCAGAAGTGGTTATGAGGTTATATATCTTCTATCTCCTTTAAATATTTCATATTTGTACTAAAATATTGAACTGTGTTAGTTACAAAGTTACAATCATGTACTAAAATTTTGAACTGTGGTAGGTACAAAGTTAACGTTACGGTGATGGATGAATCGGCCAATCGGGTCATGCCTCCTTTGTTTTTTGGGACAAAGAGTGCATAACTTTGATTAGAAAAACAACGAATACTCTTCGTGAGGAGATTGAAGAGGTGACCAAAAAACTTCAGTATATAATGATGGATATATAATGAATATGCAAAATTTAATATTTTTAAGTTTGGTGAAAATACAGAAAAATCTTGGACCTTACTATTTTCCAGTTGAGATAGATGGTTTGGTTGAGATTAAGGGGTTGTTTCGAGTTCAGACAAAGAGGGAGAGATTTTGTTACAGAGGTGCTCCAACATTTAGTGTTATCAGAATGAATTGTGATCCTACAGTTCTCTCTTTGTACAAGTATAAAGGAAAAGTGGATGAAGAAGATGATGATTTTACACTTCTGAAGAAGGAGTTTTCTGTGGATGAAGAAGTATGTGTACTAACTGTGTTTATCAGTTTCTTCTTTTAGTAAAACAAACTTTGATAATTTATATCTTCATATTAAAGTTGAGTATGTTATTTTCAGGTGACCACAGTCAAAGAAGAAGACACTAGCCCCTTGCTGACAAGAAAAGAAAGGAAAGAAGTTGTTGCTAACCTGGATGGTATCAAGAGGAAGTTGTTTGATGAGCCCCCACCTGTGTAGCCAGCAAAGAAGCTGAGGAAAGTCAAAGTGGAAAAGCAGTAGCAATGTCTGAAAAGATGCCAATTTTTGTGAATGGGCCCTTAAGAACGGGTTTCCAAATGATAGGTGTCAATATATGTTGTTTTTGTTGGTGCATGGGCCCTTAAAATTTTTTTGTGTGGTTTGTTCTATGGCTGGGTATTGCCCAGGGAAAGGGTCAGGTTATGGTACAAACTTTTGATTTGGATTATTTTTGTTAGGTAATCTATTCTGATC